TAACGCACTTGTAGCACCTCTGGAGTTTCGGGTGTACATGAGTGGCGCCGATTGCTTACCATCAGGTGCTTACCATCTGCTCGTTTACCACCTTATTTCATAAAAAAAGTATTCTGTGACTGAACATAGAAACTAACAGACCATGGTGTAGGTAACTTTACTTTGTTCCTTTGGTAGTTAATGTTTTCGGTTGACCTAAGTAGGTTGGTCATTGACTAACTTGGCTATTGAACCTAAGTATTCACCTAGGTTCAATAACTGGTTCAGGGCCCCAAGAACACGTGAGAATGTAGGTAAGTCCAATTCATTGGGCAGTTCTTGAGGCCACCAACCGAAAATGAGTGACCATTTTGAGTTGAGTGACTTTACATTACCTACGTCAATGAAGTAGCTTGGTTTAAAACATCAGTCCCTTACAATTAATTTGTCGGTCACGTATAGAAGACACGTGCTTCGTTTAATTGATTATCGTGTATTATATTTATTGATGAAGCTATAAATCTTTCGTTTTTATCATCAGTCATTCTTTATAGACGTCGTTGTTGTTATTCTGTTTAGATCCATCCTCTATGGACTTACCTATGTTCCTTTAGATACGTTGTTAAAAACAACTTCAAATCAAATAGAAGAAAGAGTAGAATATGTATATCTAAATAATCAGGCCTAGCTTTTACCTGCGGTTTTGCCCGCGTATTCCTGTTTTATCCCTACCTAAGTCAGCCTATACCCTGCCTGTATACCTGTATAAATTTCATTAAAATCCGTTCAATAGTTTCAAATATCCAAACATAGAAACTTTCGCATTTATAATATTAGTCTGATTTCAGTTCTTATGACTGTGTCATTATATACATTGATTGTGAATTGACAGTTAAGTACATAGATATAACTGGGAACATAGTTTCCTCAATCAAAAATAATTTATTTCGACTGTTCAATACAATAAAATATTAATTTGACTTGACGTTTGACTGCACGGTTGGTGCGGTGGCTGGGCAACCGGCTGCCGTGCAACGTGTCGCGGGTTCGATTCCCGCACGGAACAACACTGTGTGGTCCACAAAGTGTTGTTTCGGGTCTGGGTGTCATTGTGTATGTGAACTTGTATGTTTGTAAACGCACCCACGACACAGGAGAAAATCCTAGTGTGGGGCAACGTTATTTTAAAAAAAAAAAATTATGATTAACTTAATTTTAGTATTTCTTCAGCATTTTCTTAACTAATAAGTATGCTGTTTGACGCTATAAAAACGTGACGTCACACAATCACGTACAAAATTCACAGAAAACTGTCGTTTTTGACAGTTCCAAAAAAGTATTGAATTCAACTAGCCTGTCTTCTCTAGCCTGGGTGAGGCGGGAGGGAGTGTCAGACTCTTACTGACTAAAAACCACCCCGTTCCTTCTCCTGCACGTCGAGCCGGGGCCTCGGCAGCCCGTATCGACTGAAATAAAATCTACGATAATAATTCCACTTATCAAAAGTTCAAGCCATGAAGTTAATCAAACGCAAGTCACTTAGGAAGTCAACCAATGAACAGTGCGATGTTCATTGTATTAAATCATAGGCTGTGACAAAATTAATCTCAAACGTTTTAGATTACAAATGGTTGAGTATGAAATATGTTCATTATCTGAAATTAACAATACGTTACTGTACAAGGCACTGATATTGACAACAGATTAAAAGTGCAACGCAAAAGTATGAGAAAATCTTTGCCCTTGCGTCTACATCTACGAACTGACAAACACCCCTTTTTTTATGGCATGCACCGGTACAGAATAGACGGATCACATGATGGTAAGCAATCGGTGTCGCCCATGGACACCTGGAACACCAGAGGCGTTACAAGTGCGTTACCGGCCTTTTGGGGATTAGGAGTTTGAGTATCGTTGGGGATTCAGGAATTGGGGAGATTGGAGAAGGGGAGGGTAATTGGGCCTCCGGCAACCTCACTCACACGACAAAACACAACGCAAGCGTTGCTTCACATCGGTTTTCTGTGAGGCCGTGGTATCACTCCGGTCTAGTCGGCCCATTCGTGCCGAAGCTTGGCTCTCCCACACTTACTCATTAGTTTGTTTGTCAGGGCGTTTGTTAAAATTAAAATTGTTAAGCAACAAGGAATGATTGACAAGACTCGTTTAAATTGTTTCATTTAAACATAACCATTTACTACCACAAGCCCCTTTTTTAATCGACTTTAAAAAAAGGAGGTCTTGACCTGTATGCATCTATGTATGTTTGTTCGCAATTATCTTGTGATCGGGTGAACCGATTTTATTGCAATTTTCAGAAAACGGTTTGTTATACTTAGAAGGTTTAAGTAGAATAATTAATTAATTAACTTAAAAAAAAGGGTGATGAAGTCGGTTTTTTTTATAAAAGAATTATTTCACCGTCCTTGCACAAACCATTTTTAATCTGCACTTCATCCAAGCAGGTTTTATTCCAATAAAAACTACAAGGTACAGACTAAAAAAGGTTATTAATATTGATTACACCTTTTTAAATTTCGAACGTGGTTTGAAATCGTTGAGCGTGTTCGTTTATCACGATCGGTTAGCTTCGCTTCCGTGCTGTTGCAAAAGTTTGTTTCATCTGGTGGGTCTTTTAAATTTGATTTTGAATTTATCTTTCAATGCATTTATACCATCTTGTTAATGTTACTGCCACTGTCACTAATGTACAGTGGTTTAATAAATTGTAACATGTTCGAAAATAGATATTTAATAAAGAGTTTTTAATATTTCTGTGTGCTGGAATCTGGAACCTACTGTAATATTCTGTCTTTGAAATAATGTCACTTAATTTTCGAAGTCGCTGTCAAAAGCACAGAAATATTAATTATTATATCTATGGTCAAAAGTCAAAGTCAATATCAAAATCAAAATCATTTATTTTTAATTAGACAAGAAAGAAAGGCATTTTCAAATGTCAACGAAAATTAATTCTCGTAGATATAAAAGACATATTCATAAAACTTTTTTGTAAGATTTAACTTAAGACGATCAGAGGCCTTAGTATGAGTTTGATTTACGTTTAAAGTATTCGAAACGAGTACGCGTTCGGCACTCTGATTGGCCGGCGCCAATGAAGCAACCAATCACAGCGCCGAACGCGTACTCGTTACGATTACTTTAAACGTACTAAGGCCTCTGAAATGTATCAAGTAGTCAAGTGTGTACTTTAAGTGCTATACACAAGTTCTTGTCAGATTATCGTTTTTCACCTTTTTTATATCTAGGAAAGTTATAAGAGGATTTAATACTTTCCCTTGAACGCGTGTGGATAAGATGTTAATGATAAAATATGGATCCTCTTTTCTTTATCACGATTAACTAAGTTGACAGAGGACATAAAGGTTAGTTCATCAGCTGCATTCGAGAATAATTTTGTAAGTAGGTAGTTCATCTGCGTGATTTTATAGTGGTCAACAAATAGGCTCTACGTCGTTTTATTGTCTTACATATACCTAGTATTGTCTTAGTATATCAGGAACATAACATGTGACCATTCCTTCGACGACCGTCAACCGTACTAAACGTATTTTAAATTGAAAACTAGTTCATGAGATGGATCTTAAAAAGAAGTATGCACTTCTGTTATTGCTTAGGAGACGCAGGAAAAAAAAACAAAGAAGATTTTGGGGAGATAAGACTATATATCGCGCATCCTATAGACATCATAGGATGCGCGATGTGAATCAATTCGCAAGTTCTTGCTAAGATGCACAGATGGAGCTCGCACATTTTTGCGATGCAACGTCGCATCGCAGTTTTGTGTACGAACCCTACGTGCGTGATTATTTGACGAGGAACTCGACTAATTTCAATAGTAAGTGGCGACTAGTAAAAAAGCAGCGTGACAGCCGCCCCGTCGTGGGTCGCGGAATGCTGCTCATGAATATGAGCCTATATTAGGTATATTTACGGAAATTAATCATTACGCCAGTAAGCCAAAAACCTTAAAAATTTAATTAGTATGTCTCAGGTAAGTTATAATATATCGAAAAATACTATCTGAGTAGTATATTTTGATCACCTTTAGTTCAACAGTAATTCACGATCATTGATTTTGGCAGAGAATGAACCTACAGCAAAAGTTGAAATGAATAACATAGGTATAAACCGTGACTGGTTATTTACAAACCACAACCTGGTAACCATAACCGCCATTGCACAATATGATAAACGTAAAAAGGTGCACTTTGAAGAGGTATAAAACAAATTCATTCGAAAACGTATCTAGGAATACATACCCAATAGCTCACTATTCAGCCGTAATAACAAATCCGAATCAAAATATTTATAGACTTTTAAAATTGCCCAAAGGCTTTTTTTTTAAGGGGGGAAAATCATCGAATTACTGCTCCCGCCTGGGTGAGGCGGGAGGGAGTATCAGACTCTTACTGACTAAAAACCACCCCGTTCCTTCTCCTGCACGTCGAGTCGGAGCCCCGGTTACCCGTTAGGTTCTCCGCGACAAGCCCTAAGGCTAGGAATCTTACGAACGGTTCCTATGTTGTCATTGGAATTGCTCAGGCCTGATATTAAAAAAAAACTAAACTATATTCTAATTCATACATCGTCATCAAATAAACGAAAAGAGAAATGGAAACAACTCTTCTAGGTGCTTGTTTCCCTCCTTCCATTATAAGTAGTCTTCTTGTAGTCAAATAATGTTCATAATACGCGGTACCTAGTGACCTTAAGCTCCAATAATATCTATTACCAACCTAGTCCCGAGCGTACGGCGCGTCGCGTTCCGCGCGCGCCTCAAAGAGCCATCAGACCACCACAGATGGGGCCCAATAGGGCCGATGCCGATTCGGAGTCGCGGAGAACCTAACGGGTAACCGGGGCTCCGGCTCGACGTGCAGGAGAAGGAACGGGGTGGTTTTTAGTCAGTAAGAGTCCGACACTCCCTCCCGCCTCACCCAGACGGGAGCAGTCATTCGATGATTTTCCCCCCTTAAAAAAAAAAAAAAATTACCAACCTAGTAGGAAGAAGAAGCACGCCGCACTGTTCTCTGCTATTGGTGTAGAAACATGGACCTGGAACAAAAAAAAAATAATGTTACATTTTACAAAGACGGTCTTAATCGATGAAAAATTAGTTTTAGGTATATATTAAATATAACGTAAAACTAGACCAATAAAACGAAGTTATTACACTAATATTATAATGTGAATGTTTCTTTGTTTCAATGATTGTATGTTTGTCCGTCAATCACGCTGAAAGTACTGAACGGATTTAGATGAAATTAGGTACCTATACACAGGCAGGGTATGAACTGACTTGGGTGATAGGATACTTTTCATCCCGATTAAATGCTCCCTGGGATGTGCTAAGCCGTGGTAAAAGCAAGTTAACAATAAATCAAAAGAAAACTAGGCAAAGAACACATTGACCACAACGAGGTCCATTATTTGAAATAACAGGAAGATATAACAAATAAATCTATTCTCATTCATTACTAATACAATTTTTCAATTGTCAACAATAACATACTTGGTATAATGGCCGTAAAAAGGTTAACAAGTGGTATAAGAAAATGGTTAGATCATTGCATGAATCACTTTTATATTTACTTATTTAATGTTGGTCAAGTAACACACAATGAAGATCAAAGTTGTTACAATTCATATATAAGTATGAAGAGCCATACTTCGGTACGAATGGGCCTTCTCCACCGGAGTGATACCACGGCCTCACAGAAAACCGACGTGAAACAACGCTTGCATTGTGTTTCGTCGTATAAGTGAGGTTACAGGAAGCCCAACTACCCCCCCTCCACTTCCCCAATCCCTGAATCCTAATCCCCAAAAAGGCCGATAACGTCTCTGGTGTTCCTGGTGTCCATGGGCAACGCCGATTGCTTACCATCAGGTAATACAACAGCTTGCTTACCGGTTTATCCCATAAAATAAATACTATCTTTATATTATTTAAAAAGAGCCCAGGAACTTTTAGGAGATGTGATTTTAAATATTTTCGTCCTTCCATCTATGCTTAACCTACAATAAGCCAATATTCTTTGCCTATAGACAAGCATAGGCTAGTGTAGGCCATACCAAATCGTCATACGCCAATGACCTTTAGAAGAAATTCCAAATTAAAAGGTCCAGTTCTCACTATTAACATCTTTCCTGTGATTCCAATGCGATTCAAAATCGATTGGATTAAAACACAAATCTCCCTGCACAAACATGACAAAACTACCGATATTTTTGAACCATAATAAGTTCTAGTTTCAAAGAAACTGTCAGTTACTACTTTCTTGCAAATGACTTGCAATATCCACTGACTAGACTGACAGACGATATCATTTCTCTCACGTAGGTTCTATGTAATTTCTCTTTGACCTGCGCGTACGCATGATTTTTAGACAGAATAAAAATCTAGTCGCTTTATTGCCTGAATGAAAACATTTGTAAACTTAGACTAGAAGTATTAGTAACCATAGAACTAGATTAGATTTTACTATGATTGATTAAAATAAATAAGACGATGATGCAATAGGCATGACGACTATTTTTTAATTTTTTGTCCGTCTTTTAGATATTTTAAAAATCTTCGATACGTATTTTCTTTTTTCTCGTATCCAAAAAAAACATGTAGATATTTTGAGTTAAAATGACGCGTGACGTCACATTTAGGTACGATTTCTCCGTAAGTGTGACGTCAACACCCCCCACTCCCTAACTTTAATGCGGAATAACTACGTATTCTTCTGTTAATTAGATAAAACAAAAAATACGTGTCTGATATTTTCGTGCGATCTTAATGACGGACTAATTACTTTTTTGATTTTTTTACCCTGTCGACACGCCTATTATATAAAATCGTAGAAAACTGAAATAATGATATCTGGAACTAGGGACATAACGCCTTTATTAGCTAGGGTTTGGGAAAATAGGGCGTTTGAAAATATGACGTTCATAATATATATTTAAAAAATATTATTTGTAAGTATTATGACACTAAGCGCCGGTTTCACCACCTCCATATAAGTACCTAATAAACATATTGGACAGATAGTTCATGGTAGATAGCGGCTATCCAGATATTGTGAAATAGGCCCTAAGAAAGGTAAGAAGAATAAAACAAACAAATGAAAAACAGTTATTTAATCAAAATAAAACCGAAACCCTTAGTTTTACATAGTTTTACATGTAGGTATTCTAACATAGAGGTAGGTACAATATTTTGTGACATTCCCAATCTTTGACATAATTTTCGTGACATATTTCTGTTAGCAACGCGACCAATTTTGTATAAAACCACTTTTTTTTTATTTTTCATTAATACTTTTCTTGGCCAACGAGTGGCCTGAAGGTCTAGTGCGATTTTTAATTTTACGTTAACGCGATCGTCACGTTTATGACGTTCAGCCATCTGATTGGTTGGTTAATTGGAGCTGGCCAATCAGAACACCGAACGTCATAAACGTGTCGATCCCGTAAGCGTAAAACAAATTCACAAAAGTCACTCTGTTAAAATTTTAGGCGTAATTTCTCAACCGGAGCGGTGAAAGGCGGCAAGGCCACGTACACAATAGACTGAATTATAGCCGATACAAATAAGTACGCTCTACAGACAGACAGACCGGAAAGGGGCTTCCATTCATATAAACGAATACTTTGTTCTCTGCACTTCCAATAGAAATTCAAGCTAATCTAGATTTCGGTCTCTTGAACACTGTTTCACTGTTGGACAATGTTTCTTGATTTATTCAATTTGATATACCTAGGTATTTCTAGCACTAATACGGAAGATCTGATGACTTGTTCTTATTATAAGTTCCTAGAGAGATGACAATTTCAAGAAACTTTCGCATTTGACTTGACGTAATAATTTGTGCTAAAAGGTTTTGAAATGATTTAAGAACAGAACCATGAATAAATATAATTCATAATTGAAATTATTTATTTATATTGTACCCATTTGTAGAAAAATTCATATATTATATAGTTAGATATTATTATTTTATAATATTATTTTATTCATATATTACGAAAGAAAAGCCTCATTGAATGGCAAAGCAAAATAAGTGATAGTGTACTAATAATGTCTAACTTCAAGGTCCACGTCAAGTTGTAAATAATTGCTTATTATGAGCAATAATTTTAGATTCCTAATTCACTCGAGGAAAATTATTAGATGCAGACGAAACCAATTATTAATAACACTGATGTTATTTAAAATATTGATATATACTGCTAAACGCATCCCTTTTTGTACGATATTCGGGTTTTGACATGATATATTCAATTGTTTTGTACTTCGTCATTTCAGTCTTTTCAAATTGTTGTTACGAAAAATATTGTTTAGTATGAGAAACAATATTTCCACGTCTATCTACGAAAATCAAGCGTTGCTTTCTGTCTAAGAAACAAAAACACAAATCCCAAAGCAGAATGTTGTAAGCCCACTCTAAAATCCGACATGGCCGCATTTGCTTGAAATTGTAATAGTTAAGCACAGAAATAATGACTCCGTACCATCTTGAGAGACCAGGCCTTGACCGGCAGATTGCGGTTACAGTATTCGCTCAATGACAGACGCTAGACGTCTAAACTTTAGCAAACAAAAGCAAAAATTAACAGTTTAGACAACAAAAGTAACTGTTGTAGCTAATTAATTGTTATTAGCGTTAAATAGTCGGAACTGATTGACTCAACTTTCAATCGTACAGTTGGATTAATTATTGATTTCGAAATACTTTGAGATACAGAACAAAATGTGGATTATCTAGAGTTTAGGAATCAAATCGATTCTTGTTACAATGAGATTGTACTGATTTGCAAAAAATGAGACTATCAGCATCCTTATAGACACATCTAATAAATCGTTTTGAGATTAATCGCGGGTTACTCACGTTAAAATATTGATAAAAGCTCTACTATTTTCGAACCACAGAGAGGTTCTTAGTTAACGTGACGCGATTTTTAGTTAATTTAGTATGTCTCACGATAGTTATTATAAAAACATAACATACGCCTTCAATAGTGTGACCAACAAGACAGCTTAATAATTGTTATTAAAAATAAAATATAGTTAAAATGAAACCCAAACTCTTCCTCTTCCGTAATATTATTATGATTTATCTCGTGTGCAAATCAGGTTTCGAGACAGTGGGTCGGAACGAGACGTCATTATAATGCACCTTTGTATTGCATGCCGTGTTTGACTCAAAATACATCTCGCAAAAACTCTTATCCAGATATTTTTAAATGTTACTAATATATATTTATTTATGTATTGGAAAACCAACAGCTACATATGGCAAACAAATAATGACAAAATAACACCAGAAAGCCAGGTTTTCACGAATAAATATTACAATTATCAATTTTTAAGGCCAAATTATAGAAAAATAATAAACATAATACAAAAAATATTGTATTAATATTTATGTCTTAGAATCCATATAACATAACATCATGCCTTCTATCCCCGAAGGGATTTTCCGTAGGTAAAGCATACTTGACTTATATTGTACAGTGGCATAGAATATAACACCCACTTTTCACTATTTATATTATGAGTCCCATATAATAGGGGGTGAGCCTATTACCATATACCGGGCACAATTCCAGACTCCCTGCTACTACTGAGATTTTTTTAAAACCCAATAATACTTTGCCCTACCCGAGAATCGAACCCGAGACTTTTGCCCGGCAGTCGCACTTACGACCACTTGGCCAACGAGGCAGAATCTATATCTATCTACAATATACACATTATAATCTAAATATTAACTTTTTAAAGTCAAGAACGGCTGAATTGTGAATCCGTTACGACGCGATGTCATGATTTTTTATGAACACTGTATTTTGTAATAAAATCAACGATTTTTTACAGTTCCAATACTTTTTTTTTGAAATTGAACCAACATATCGTCGCTACCAAGTCAAAAAATAATCGATATTATCATTTATACGTAAATCAATGAATAAAAGACCCGTTAAATATGTTTATTGGACATTTAAATTGTATCGGACAGATGTTTGGTATCGATTTTTACGTTTTTGTTATTAAATTTGACCCC